GATCCCCCCCACAGTTTCATGATCCTGTTTTTTGAGGATCACGGAACTGCGGAGGAAATCGGGTGAAGCCGCGGGTCAAATGCAGCCTCGCGGCTTCGGGTGTGAAATTGACCAATAGTATCGGGGAAGCTCTAGTGTGAAATCAGCCTCTCAGTGCGCTCTTTATATTTTATCTTAACTATTTGACGTAACTGGTTTTTTAAATTGAAATACTCATCTGGAAGGCGGGTCCAGTTATACTCCCTAAAAAGGTAGTCAATAGAATGGATTTGGTATTTAATATTACAGCATTCGCTATCAAACCATCCAACTGTATTTTTTGGGTCACAGTAATCTCAAGGCACCAAGTGACTTCCAAGGAATTACAGCAAGTAACTAATAGTTCTATAGTTCTATCATAAACTTGGGTAACATCTCCATTTTGACTCAAAGCTACATTGAATTCTACTAAGATGTTAGGATCCAGAAGGTTGGTCACCTTTTCTGCAACAGCAGGAGACCAAACAATTTTAGACAGTCTATTCATCCCCAGAGATAGAGTGGAGGTAGTGCTTATTGGGCAATTCAGGGGAAGTCAATAAACTAACCAGATTTCTCTCTTTCCACCCTTGCTTTCCTCTTCCCCTACTCCAATTCCCCTCTGTCTCTGTCACTATTACAACAATAACCTCACTTCTCCCCTACTGCTCCCATCTTCCACCTGCGGGTGAAGACTTTTTTTGTCTCATCCGGCTTTCCCTCAGTGATCCCTCTTTGGTTTTCTTGTCTTTTTTTATGCTTTTGTATGTGTTCTTTAGCTTTGGTTTAAATTGTTTTAATGGTGTTCTTGTTTGGTTTTAATGGTTTTTAATGGTGGGATTTTAAGATCTGCGGTGGCTCAAGTGGTTAAGACACTGAACTGCAGGCTGTGGAAGGCTGGTAGTTCAGCAGTTTGAGACCTGAGTGTGCCGCATGACGGAGTGAGCTCCCATCTCTAGTTCCAGCTCTTGCCAACCTAGCAATTCGAAAGCAAGAAATTGCAAGTAGATAAATAGGGACCACTTCGGTGGGAAGTTAACAGCGTTCCGTGCGCCTTGGTGTTTAGTCATGCCAGTCACATGACCATGGAAACGTCTTCGGACAGCGCTGGCTCTTCGGCTTTGAAACGGAGATGAGCACCGCAACCCTAGAGTCGGACTCGACTGGCTTTCGAGCAAGGGAACCTTTACCTTTATGTGTTCTTTAGCTTTGATTTAAATTGTTTTAATGGTGTGTTCTTGTTTGGTTTTAATGGTTTTTAAGATGGAGATGATCCATGGGGTCGCAAAGAGTCGGATTCGACTGTGCGACTGAACAACAACAAGATCGTATTCTTATTATGTTTTTTAATCTGTTAACCACCTTTGTAGTTCGGGTGAGGGTGGAAAGGCGGGGTAAAAATGTTGTAAATAAACAAATAATCTCCTGTCTTTCCTATGTCTTCCTGTTAAGTTTTCACAGCCTTGGAGGGCATTGCCAGAGTAAGACTGAAGGCTCCTGCAAAGGGGCCCCCCAGATGGGATGGGGTTGCATTTCCCCTGAACTCCAGAGCACAGCCCCCCCGGGGGGTAATTCTTGACCCAGCCACCACCCTCTGAAGAGAAGGCCTGACCACTTACGTCGTGACGTCATCAACTGTAGGCATAACATTCCCTGAGCTCTGCAGTTTCCAGCTGCTGTCACAAGTGTTTTAACTCGCAGTTTCTCCTGTACCCAACAAGATATTCTCTTGATTCTTTCACTGCAGTATTCCAGACACTTCACACTCGCTTACAGTGTTACTGAGTTCAGTTTCCCTTGCATATTTGAGTGCATGTTTCATATAATTTACAAGCATATCAGAGGGGAAAGTGGTGGATGTCTATTGTATGATGGTAGTGTCAAATAACTTCTGGTTTTCAGTTTTACTTTTTATTTACCATTGACATAGCATGAGATAGAAATATGCACAAACTCATACTTAGGTAAGAAGTTTTCACATACAGTAAACAAAAGGGGGGGGGGATTTTTCTACATGAGCCCTGATGGAGAGTTTGCATTATGTATAATCTCAAAGCAGATCTGTGCAAGTCCATTTCAGCCTCCAGCCTTCCATTTTCTGGCCAACACATATGATTTTTAAAAAGGAAAGAAAAGGGCAATTTTCACACTATTATTTTCATTTAAAAGGGGAAAGTGGGGGATGTCTGTTGTATGATGGTACTGTCAATTCTCACTCTATTTCAGATTTTTTTGGGGGTTAGATCAGTGGGTTTTGCTTCAGTTTGCCACAACAAATCCATGAGGGAACTGGGGGGGTCTGTATTAAAGCCAGCCTTACATACTAGAATCTCCAAAGGACACTAAAAACCAATAAATAACAACTGTGCACTGACCAACCCACCCAAGAGCAATAGAAAAGAGACTTCAATACAATAAGAAATTCAAAGCATGTAATCTATCATTGGAAGCAGTGCTGGCAACCGAAGGGGGAGGGCATGGGCACATATGCACACACACATGTACGCACCACCCACCCACACCCACACACACACACACAAATTTTAAAAAAATCAAAAGGGGGGGGAATATTTCTACATGAGCCCTGATGGCCTCCGGTCGGTGGGAGAGTTTGCATTATGTATAATCTCAAAGCAGATCTGTGCTAGTCCATTTCAACCTCCAGCCTTCCATTTTCTGGCCTGGTGGAATTATTATCCCCCCCCAAAAAAACAACAACAACCCAACACATATGATTAAAAAAAGGAAAGAAACCGACAATTTTCACCCTGCCGTTTGTAGCTCCCCATATGTTATGAGCTCCACTCATAATTAGGAGTCAAAGTGAACATTTCTCCCCTCCACCAGCCTCCACCTAGCCAGAGTCTCTTGCAAAGAGGGAAGGGAGGGAGAGGGAAGCTTTCTTCTGTGAAAATACAGACGATTACTGTGTAAAAAAAAATCCAAAAACCCCCCAACAGCAACCCTAGAAAAGCCCTGGGTCGCTCAGAAACCAGGGGAAATGTTCCCGCTCGCTGGGCTCCGTCCCATCCCATCCCATCCCGCTCAGGTCAGATTAACTTTCCCCCTCCCTCCAATCTCTTCCTTCGCTTCGGAGACGGCCACTGTGAAAAAAACAAAACAAAACAAAAAAGCCCCGAAACCAACTCCAGAAACCCTCCCTCGTTTTTGCGACGAGAAAACCAGTCCGGGAGAAAGAAAGAAAGAGACCCTTCGTCTTCTCCTGCTCCAATCAGCCACACAGGGAATATTATGCCTACTCAGGTCGCCATGGCAGTGAGGAAATGACGTAGTGATCAGGCTTTCTCTTCAGAGGGTGGTGACCCAGCCCTACTCCCCTATGATCAGGAAGTGTGATTTTTCACTCTTGAAGATCTGAGGGGTTCTTGAGGTTACCTTTGGTCTCAAAAAAACAACAACACACACACCCCATGACAACAACAACAAATCCCTCTGATGAAAAAGGACTGCTGGTGACTTTTGTCAATGAGGAATCAAAATAACATCTGAGAGAAAAATGGCACTCCCCATCCCTAGCTTCTGGAGGAGCCTCCTGTTAGTTCACAAGAAAGCTTGTTGCACTCTCCAAAATAAAACAGCTCGACGTTGGAAGTCTCTCCCTGCTGGGGAAGAGCACACCGCTTAGTAAAACTGGCCAGTCCATAGGTGGACGGTAGCTGGGTAGCCTGCCTGGACTTCTTCTTCCCAAGCTCTTCTTGGGAGACCGCAGTGGCCAGGACAGACTTTTAATCAGCTTAGGCTGGTGTACCAGCTCCAACCCTTCCTGGACAAGTCTAACCTGGCCTGGCCAGACTAGACGACTCTTAACTCACTTGACCAGACGCTGCTTTGAAAAAGAAATTCCAGTCGAGCCAAACTTCCGCACACCTTAGGACTTCCACCAGGATCACGTAACATCAACCCTGAAGCATCTTTGTAATGATTCCTTGTTTTATATGTGTGTGTGTCTCTTTAAAAGTTTGGTTGCATGGCTGTGTGATGGACTAGAGTGCTTGAAGAGAGAAGTGTGGTGTGATTGGTGATTGACAGAGAGGGGGAGGGGTGTTAGAAAGGGTTTCTGAGTGGATGAATGGGTATGTCCTTCAGGAGTGGCAGTTACCGTTTTGACAGTTGATGAAGACAGTTGATAAGGAGTTCGTTCTGAAGTCTGAGAGAAGCAGTCTGTGTGTGTGCAGTTAAGAACAGCTGAGGTTGTTCTGAGAGAATAGTAAAATGTAAATGAAAGTAATTGAAGAAAAAGTTTAGGAAAGGCTGTATGTCCTGGAGAGAAACAGTGAACTTACATGACCTTGAGTTAAAGTTACAAAGTTACATGCCAAGATCCCTGACAGTGAAGGGAAAAGTGTGTGAAATACCAAAGCAATTGTTCAGTATTTACCCATTCCTAGTTACAGTGTTCTACTATATTATTTACGAAATTGTTTCAATAAATCTTCTTTTATTTAAGTCTGCCAGCTCTGAAAGAAATAATTTCTCAGGAAACACATAGTACCTCGAAAGCCTAAAACCTCGACCTACCTACCCAGTGATAGCCAAAAGAAAGTATACAGGTTTGGAAAGCCTAAAATTTCCTGGTGGCAGCCGGATATACACAGTAGAACCAAACATAAAGAACACTTTAAAGGGAAACCAGGCCTCCCCAGATAAGGGGTCGTCACAGTCTTCATTGGCTATTTGTTTCTGGGCACAATTCTTCTGCCCAGTGCACATCTCCTATGAAGATTTTTGTGGACTAGCAAAGAGAGAGACGAGGGCAGACACACTGGAAGCCAGTGGAATCCAAGAGTGCTGCCAGAGTGTGTGAGCCCCCATCAAGCCCAGCTGGCAGCTGTGTGGGTCTGGGAGGAGACGATGGGCAGTCCCGTCCTCAAAACTTCACCAGCCACAAAGCTGCTGCCAGTCTTCGTGGGTTCCCCTCAGCGACTTGGGTCCCTGTGTGATAAGTAAACAGTCCAGGGTGCAGCCAGTATTGCCTACCCCTGCCGTAAATTTTTGGTGTCACACTATCAAACAAAGAAACACTGTGATAAAATTGACAATATTTAATTATTCTTATGAACCTCAATTTGTGTATCAAGACTTTTACAATACTGCTTAGGAAATTCTAACATTTTCAAGGGAAAGCCCAACATCATCATATCCTCAATGAGTGCCCGGTTAATGATGATGGACTTTCCCTTGAAAATGTTAGAATTTCCTAAGCAGTATTGTAAAAGTCTTGATACACAAATTGAGGTTCATAAGAATAATTAAATATTGTCAATTTTATCACAGTGTTTCTTTGTTTGATAGTATGAACCTGTAACTGTAACTTCTTTGGTTTACTCAAATAAATATTTTTGGGGGGGGGGGGGCTGAGTGCCTGAAGGACCATTTTTCTCCATTGTGAACCTATTTGGATGTCCAGATGTTCTAGCAAGGCCCTGCTTGGCACACCCTAGTTCAGTGGTGGCGAAGCTATGGCACGGGTGCCAGAGGTGGCACTCAGAGCCCTCTCTGTGGGCACGCGTGCCATCACCCCAGCCAGGCCCAGACCATCATTAAAGTGCCAAATTCTCTGCCAAATAATTTTAAGTAAATGAAAGCATTTGGGATTGCTTTCCTTACTTTGTTTGGATCATCTCAAGTTAATGGATGAGTTGTTTTTTCTAAAGTAAAACCTCAGTCTTCAGGTTAAATGGCCGTGTTGGCCCTTTGCGATAAAGAAGTGGGTTTGGGGTCGCAGTTTGGGCACTCGGTCTCTAAAAGGTTCGCCATCACTGCCCTAGTTCATGCAGTGGCTACACGTAACAAGGCCTTTCCAGTGCTGGCCCAGGAGCACAAAACTCCCTCTGCCGAAAGGCTCGATCAGGCACCCCTTCAATGGCCTTTTTAAAAAGGCTGCCAAAACTGGTTTACTCTCTTGCCCCATGTTTCAGTATCTCCCATGAATTACATTCTTCTCTGCTGAACTCTGTTTTATGGTCCTTCTTTATTCCCGTTGGCTGTTTTCTCAGATATTCTACAGAGGGTTAAAAAAAAAATTATACTGCTACTTCATTCTGTTTATGCTTTACTGTTCTGTAGTAAGCCATGGTGTGGGGGAGTATGCCCTACCAAAAGATGGCGTATAAATATTTCAAACAACAAGCTATGAACAATATTTTATTTGGTCAAGGACGGATAAGAAAATCAAAAATATTTCAGTTGAGAGACAAACTTCCAAAGGCATGCCTTGGACATTCAAGAGGAGGAGGAGGGGACGCGTCAATCACTTGCCCCCCTCCTTTCTGAATGTCCAATGCAGCGTCTTGTCAAGGATGAAAAATCCTACCTTGTCTGACTCACTGATGCAGTGAATATCGGCTCTGAATCCACGTTCCGTGGCTTGCTGGCAAATCTCTTCAGCTATAGCTTTGGCCTGGCCCTTCTGGGACGCATAAAGGAGCAGGAACCGCCTGTTTGTTTCACAGCACATCTTTCAAAAGCCACCTGCATGGCAGAACAGAGAGGCCGGATGCTTATTTCATCAACCACAACCAGTTCGAGGACCATCCCCTTTCCCGCCAGAATACCCTGTGTATAACCCACTTCTTCCAGAAGCAACACCGATGCTGAAATCCTGTGCTGACTTATTTGGAATTATGTCCCATTGAGCAAAGTGTGACCAACGCCCGAGCAAACACATATAAGGCCGCACATTAATTGTACACAAGGAGCCAGGACAAGAGGCTGAAATTAGGAGGAGCCTTAAGGAAGAAACACAGAAGCACAGTTCAGCGCCCCCCCCCCCCCCCCACCAAAGAGCAAGGCCTTCTTCTCGCTGCCTGTAGAGCAGTTCAGCCAATTTCAAATTTTAGCCTTAGACCAGGTTTATTTCTGTAAAACCAATTTTATGATTTTTAAAAAACACAAACATACATGAGAGTAATCACATCATCATTGTATCTATTAAAATACCTCATACATATTTATCTAATTTTCTATCTTTCTACCATGTAGCCAGACTATAATCTTTGCAACTCTGTATTTTAACAATATATGTTTTCTTCTATTTAAGCGTTGTGAAGTACATTTAAATATAAATTGGAGTTTCATAGGCACGTAAACTGATATACAGATTCTCTCATCTTTTCTTATTGAAGAAGAAGAAGAGAAGAAAGGAAGAGATTGGATTTATACCCCGCCCTTCACTCGGAGTCTCAGAGCGGCTCTTTATATTTTATCTTAACTATTTGACGTAACTGGTTTTTTAAATTGAAATACTCATCTGGAAGGCGGGTCCAGTTATACTCCCTAAAAAGGTACTCAATAGAACGGATTTGGTATTTAATATTATAGCATTCGCTAGAAGGAGAAGGAGAAGGAGAAGGAGGAGGAGGAGGAGGAGGAGGAG